CAACAGTAGTGAATACTGACCCTGTATACTGGAACACCTACCGAAGAAACCGTCCAAAAGAAATCCACTCCACCTGCCGTCACCACCAATAACAATATGCTCATGTTTTATGCTTTGCTTAACTTTGCTTTAACTTTTAATGAAGTTATCATAATTTTGGCAGCTTTTATAACATTGTAAGGAGTAGCCGCAGCGCAAGAGCAAGGCAAAACAACGGTCACATTGAAATACAGACAAGCGGACGAGGGACATAAAAGAGCGCACAGACACACGCACATATAAGTGATAAGTAAAATGGCAGGCTTGGTGGTGATGCCTCCAAAGGACTTCAAATTAAATGAGATTTGCGCGTACAAATACACACACACACACACACACACACACACACACACGTATGTCTGTACATCGTGACATAAAGTGCAAATAGTTTTATAGGTAGTTGGGATTACACTTTCGACTAAATGCCTTAGCACTTTCTTCAGCAGAGTGAACACATACCGACCTATAAGTATGTGTATTTGTGGCTTAAATTTGTCAATGTTAATTAATAGAGTGGGCTTTTTAATCTAACACCAAGCCTCTAGCTATGTGTACGAATTAGTCTATGAAAGTTTTGGCAGTATTGGATGCTACGCTAAGAAAAAACTCTTTGGTTCCTTCAAAACCCCAATTTTTGTCAGCATGAATGACGCAGCCTACAGCCAGAGAGCGTCTGTAGGGGTCCAAGTTTATAACGTTTTTTGGTCGGAGGTTGCCGATAAGCTCTTTTATAGCGTGCACCAAAATTGCATCAACACTATTGGTCGTGTCGACTCATTGCAAAATATATGCTGATGAGTTTGCGGTCTGCCTCTGCATAGGTGAGCCTTGAAACAACTGAGCGTACGCTGTACTAGCGTCTTCACATGCAAGATTGCGAGATCTTTTTGAGGTCAGGGTGGCGCAAATCATTCAACGCTCCTTATGGATTCTTTACTGTACGAGCAATGTCCGATTGCTTTTTCACGCGGTAAAATCTTACCGAGTCCTTATTGTCGCTCCAAGTAAAACTGATTCCGAAACCAGGAAAAGATGTATACGTCTCATTCGCTAAAAACAACAGCCAAAATTGTCCAAGCAAAATGAACTTGGTTTCATAAAAACTACTCTCCCAAGAGCAGGGTTCTACAGTTTGTTCAAAGCCCTCTCCGAACGGCCGATGGATTTATATGAGGAGCTTTCTATATCTTGCCAGAAATGCACTCAATAGGATTAACATACTCTGCAGAGGGTCGACCGCAATTAGAAAATCTAATTTTCTATAATTTTTTTAATGTTAGCCGAAACAAGACACGAACTTTGGCCTTTCCAGTTTTAGCACGGAATGCTAGCCCCTTTGCTATATCGAGCGAATATCCTTGTGTCGTACTAACATTCAAAAAGTTGTAAAAAAACTAATATCAATTAAAAATTAAGCTGAATTTTCTAATTGCGGTCGCCCTACGAAATGAGATTAATTGAAAAGTAAATAATAATATTTTTACCGCAGTTGTTGGTGAGATAAATATCTAAACAACAAGTGTTGCCCTGATTCAAAGTTAGCTCAACTGCATAGTCAATAATTCTATGCCTAAAACTTACACCTGGAGCGTGATATGTTCCCCTTGAGCCACGTCGAAAATCTCACGTTAAGCGTAAATTGAAGTGTCATCACCGTCGGATAAAATTCATTACTTGTAGAAAGCCTACCTCTACCAAATGACGTGCGTGAATAAGACGGTATTTGATCTGAAACTTCGGTTATGAACAAGATAGATATGAATATGACGAGACAAGGCGACCGTCCGTTTGCTTGTATACAAAAGTAAGGATTGAGGTCTTTTTTTATTATACAACTTAGTGCGCACATCCCTTGAGCTGTTGGTATGGACGCTATAGCAAATTTTTTTCTGAGAAACCACCAGACAAAATTAGTTAAAATTTTATACTTATCATTCCGATGGTCAAATATAAACCCCAATTGAATATTGGCGTAACTTTGCCTGTGTCCCACATCACAGACTTTTTACTTTCCACCACCCGCTTGATTCAGCAACAAAACTTAACTTGGTGGGTAAACTGCTTTTAATGACGACAAAAGTCCACAAAGAACGCTCGTTCTTGCAATCAAAGGAAATAGCCGAATGGTTCTCCACTCGACTTTTCTGAGGGCATTCATCAGGCCATTCGACAGTGCCAGAGCTGGCGCGATGAGAATTGTCGTGCCGCAGTGGAGAGAAAGCTGGCTGTCTACAGGATGAGATAGTTACCGAGAGCAGAGGGCAATTCCAGACCAAAAAAACAAAACGAACAAAAGATACCGAAATATGAGAGTATGAAGAGCCTGAGAAGCTGGCCAACAAGAGAAATGCTAGAAAATTTTATGAAAGAGCGGCTCACAGAAGATTTCTAGACCGGAGCCTACTCCTGTTGGAAGCAAGCTGGTAATCTGGTAACCAGTGAAGGCTTAACATCTGGAGATAGTAAACCAGAAGCTACAATCGATGATGATGGCAAAGACGTTGATAATTTAATGGAAAAGCTATTCAGACATATGGGACGAAAGCATGCCCGACAATTAGAATTTGAGACTGCTCACGTACGGCGCAAATTACCGTGGGATTAGTCTGCTCAATATCATATGTAAAATCCTATTAAGCTGTGGCCTTAACAACCGCATCATTAGTTCGTCTTTTTCAAGCTTAACAAAGAAATGAAGTGAAGTGATATGTTTGTGAACGAGAACAGGTCTCTGTTGACGATCATAACTTCGGGGTTGTAGATCATTTAGTCCATATAGGGGCTAACATTAACACCATTAATATTGTCAGCCACGAAATCCAACGCAGAATAACAGAAGCTGGTTGGAACTGAGTAGGCAATTCAAAAGTAAAATTCTCTCTTGACGAAATAATCGCAAACTCCACAAGTCACTTATTATTTCCATCTTAGTATATGGAATAGCCTCTAATTCCCGGCTTTTAATACTATTATACTAAGAAGACGACACGTGAAAGAGTAATCTTTTAGAACACTTTCAGTTTCTAGCCGTCAACCGTAAGTGTGTTTCAAGAAAATTCTATTAGTCAATTTCAAAAAGACTCTGTTGCTGGGAGCCAGCGACGAGTGAAGTATATTATACAACTCTCAATCTTCAGTATATCTTAGATATAGGGTTTTCCAATAAGGTAACCATTGAAGCTGTAACTTTTTGACTTCAACCATGCTTTGAAGTTATTGAAATCCTCTACGAAAATTGGGAAAACCTGACAGCGGTGGTTCTTAAAACTAAAACTAAAATAGACTTCGGTCGTCATGAAGTGCCTTGTTCAACAGCCATACAGAAATTGGTAGAAAAATGGAGTTCTTGGAATAAGTCAATAATGTAAAGAATAAGTCACGTGCAAGCCGCTAAAGAACAACTGAGAATATTGCTGCTGTAGCCCAATGTGTTGAAGAAAACAAAGGTTTACCCATTCCTTGTCGTTCTTTGAAATTGGGCACTCCGCAAACGTCTTTACACCGTATTTTGCTTAAAGACTTAGGTCCTTGAAATGCATGACAATGTTCCGGAATTTCATCGAAGATCATCTTGACTGATGAGGCCCATTTCCACCACGATGGCTTCGTTAATAAACAAAACTTTCGCATCTGCGGCTCGGAAACCCCAATATTTATTGCTTAAAAGCCTCTCTATTTTTAACGTGTAACTTTTTGGAACGATTCATTGGACTTTACTTTTTCTAAAATGGGACTGAAACAACAGTCACGGTGAATGGTTTGCGCTATCGAGTGATGATTAGTGACTGCTTATGGCCGGAATTGAATGATATCAGTTTGGACAACGTTTACTTTCAAAAAGACGGCGCTACGTGCCACACAAACAGAAAACATATCGATCTTTACAAGAAAAGTTTCCGGACCGTGTTATTTCTCGAAGAGGTGATTGGCCACCAAGATCTTGCGACTTCTTCCTTTGGGCCACGTGAGAGTTAAAGTCTATGCCAACAGGACAACGTCGATTCAAGAATATAGATGAAATTCGTTAAGCTATTGAGGACATATGTACAGCAGGTATTTTGCGATTTAGCAAAGGAAAATTCATAAAAAGGATACGGTCCTGTAAGCGTGGCTGTGAGTGCTATTTGGCTAATATTGTTCTCCATTATTAATGGCATATCCGCTTTTTTACATTGAATTTAACCTCCCATGAGTTAACTTAAAAATTGGCATTTTCCTTTGAATATCAAAATAACTCCTCTTATTGGAAAACCTTTTATAATCATTTAACCATTTTATCCACTTTTTATTCTTTATTTATTTTTTATTTATTTTTATTATTGTTTTTTTTTAACAACATACATCAGGAGATAAAAACTTTACGGTGCACTGGATGCTTGTACATTTAGTAAACAATAAATGGGGCCGAGCTGATTCCGCGTGTTCTTATTGTAACTGTATCTATAAAAATGGCACAACAAGCTCTAACGTTGAAAAATATGAAAAATTTAATAATTCAATATCAGATATTGTTCAATTAAAAACATGCCAAATGACTTAAATTAATATACCTTTGCCTGGGAAAATATAAAAGTGGCGCCTAAAAGCACTCAATGGATGTTTTATGAGTCTGTAGCATTTACATCCATACATAAGTCACATTTCAGGGATTCCATTATTAATCAATTTCCCACGCGAAGCTAAAAAAAATAATAATAATGATAAATATAAATATAAAAAAGTCCAATAACCCATTCAATCATGCCGTTCAGACCGGCCGCGTCAGTATTCATCAAAGCAAACCCAACAAAAATAATACAAAAAAAAAACATTCTTAAACGTCTATTAACTAATGTCGTTATACTTGGTTCTTTTTTTTTTTGTTATTTTTTATCAAATTCTATTTCAAATGAGTAAGAAGAAGCATACAATAAAAATACTTTAAATAAAAAATAATGAAAAAAATATAGCAACTCACTCACCAATTAAGCGTCTCAAAGCACACTCAAGTTGTATCGAGTGGCTGTTGACGGAGAGGTGTGCAGAGAACAACAATTGCAACAGCAACAACAATAGCAAACAGCAATCCGATGATGTCTCTAACAATTAGAAGCTTGTAGTACGAAAACAACAACGCCAAGGCGGCTGAGGTTCAAGGTACACACACTCTTACACTCTCTTACAAACGTACGCGCATTTGCGTTTGTACACACTACGCATGTGTATCTGTATTTGTGACACTTGTCTATCTTGCTGTCTGCCAACTTGTCAGCTTCCTAGCTTTTTTGCCGTAGGCGCACCAATAGCACACGCCTCCGTCGATTTGTATTCCCCTTTTTATGTGCAAGTGGGTGGTGGTGGGCTGGAGATGTTGGTGTACGTTTACTATTGCACCGTAGATGTAATCAAAATTGAAAGTAATTTAACGGAATGTCTTATTTAATTCGTAGCGCTATTTCAAAGATATTTTCTGTTTCTTTCTGTTTTTTTTTTTTATATTTTCACTTTTATTTGCTTTTTTTCTAATTTTTATTTTTCGTTATTGTTATTGCTATTTCTCAATCAATCTTTACGATATTTTTTCTTTCTTTTCTTTTGTGTGTACTGCAATTCAATTGCAAATCAAACAAAATGCTTCAACACGCGAGCAGAGGCGCGTTTGTACGAGGAGCGAGTGAACGGGGAGTGAAAGCTTGAATAGATAAACATGAAAGAAAAATTATAAAAAGAAGATTTTATTAAAAAAGAACATACACACACAATCAAAAAAAAAAAAAATTTTGTGTATAATTATTTCCTTTGATAACTTTAAACACAATTTTTATTTTTACTATAAATATATTTTTTTTGTGTTTAGAATAATTTTATTGCACAATTTTTCTTAATACACTATCTCATTACTATTTATATTAATTTTTTAATTTTTCGTTTGATTTTTTTTTGCTTTAAATTTTATTGATCCAGTTTATGATTATATTTTATTTAATTATATATATAAATTATTTGAGGCAAATTTTTCACTTTTTTAATTTTTTTTCTTTTTACTACCATTTCAATTTGTTGTTGTTGATGTTTTTTTAATTTACTTTCGATTAAGGTCAGTTCAGTAGCACATAAAAGCTTCTGTTTTTATTATTTTATATTTTTCTACTTCCTTCTTTCGCTTTTGCTGCGTAATGAAGATTCAATAAGATAACTGTTGCCGCGAAGTCAATACGCATTTGCTGTTATTATTTATATTGTTTGGTTATTGAATAAGTGATTTGTACTATAACTTGGAAAAAAAACATTAATTTATTTTCATTTTTAGAATTTATAGACCACAAGAGTGGTGTGCACCTACACACACATATGTATATTTTAATATGTTTTTATCTGCGTAAATGCTTTGCGGTATTTGTGGGCTCTTGAAATTTGCTTTTTATTGTTTTGTTGAGTTGAATTTGGTAAATAAAAATACTTATATTCTGTTCCCTACATATTTCTGAATTTAAGTATAAATTTTTGAGCATAAATTAGCAAAAGCAAAGGTAAAGACAAAATTTTTTTTCATTTCATTTTAATATCTTGCTTTTTATCATGTAATTTTTATGTCATACTTAATTTAATTTAATTTATTTTAACTTACTTTTATTTTATTTTATTTTATTTTATTTTATTTTATTTTATTTTATTTTATTTTATTTTATTTTATTTTATTTTATTTTATTTTATTTTATTTTTTGTTATATTTTTTTTGTTTTCTTAAAAGTTGTACTGGAATATTCATCAAGGGTTCGTAGAAATTGTTGTTTGAATTGTTTGAATGCAAGGCGCTTAACTCTTTTGTCCCGTGCGAAAGATATGATTTTTACAGTTAAATTTGGGAATTAAAACATCCAGTGTGCTAAGAGGAAAATATTGTTAGAAGAGCAATAAACATCAACCCGCTACTATTCGCGGAAATTAATCCCATCGATCACTTTTTTACGCAGAAATTTACTTAGAGACCTCGCTAGGTCTTATAAAGTCCAGTTGGTGTAAGTACTGCAGCTTTAGAACCCTAGGATGCAATTTCACTTTACTCAATGACCTAAATATCGCTTGGCAGAATACGTACATTTTTACATTGCACCTCAACAGCTACGTTAACAGACAAAACTGCCGCATTTGGAGCGTGTAACTGTTTGATGCGTCCGTCGTGTGAATCGTTGACATCATTTGTCCCTTTTTTCTCAGAAAACGACGAGAGAGCTGCAGTTACCGTCAATAACGATCATAACCGTGTATGCTTAGAGATTATTTGTTTACCAGGACGACGCAAACGTGTCACACAGCGAACGAACCAAACGAACTTTTGCAACCGACATATGTAGGAAAAAAGCCTAATAACCGAAACGGCGTTGACAACTTGCTTCCATTGGACTATTGCTTGTGGAGAGCCTTTGAGCGCAACTGCTACGCCAGTCAACTGGAGAAGATTCATGACTTATAACAAGAAACTAAAGTAGTCTTTGCAGCCATAAGGAGCACCAACAATCGAAAATGTGTTGAAAAATTGGTTCGAGGAACAGAAAAGAATGGCCTAATGCAAGGCCAGCCGCGGCAGTCATATGAATGAAGTGGCGACTTTTCATTAACAGGTGAATTGAGGTAATGAAAACTTTTTATGGGCATTTTTTATAGCAACTTTAAAACGCATAATTTCTATATTTTTCGCAATAATTATTGAACATTTTAAATCCATTTCATTTTCACAGGAAGTTTTGCAACAAAAGTGTGTTAATCCACAAGTTCAAGCATAAATAAATTATTAATATCTATTATGCCAGTACTAATAGATTATAGCAATGAATAACTGTATTGGATGTTGTTGTATAATAAAGAATTTTAATTCATAAATTCAAAACACTACTTTTCAATCAATTGCTAGATGATTTTCGAAACAATGCCGTTTCACATCATAATCACTGGCATAATCTCATCATGCACTTAATTAAAGCCACGATGTACATTCAAATAAATAAAAATGAACAATAATAACAATAATAATAATAGTGTTGCCTAAACAATCAAAGCTCAATGTAGCATATGTTAATATATATGTATGTATGTGTGTCTGTTTATAGTACAAATAGCTGCAGAACTACATGAATAGGTTTACAATTCAGCGAGCGCAAAAAGCTTTAACCGCCAGCTAGATGGACAACAATGTTTATAATATACAATAATTTATTACACTCTACCACTCACTGATTTTCCGAATTAATTTCGAATATGAACGCATATAAAAGTTCGCGAGCAAAAAAAAAAACGGAGAAAATGTAAAGAAAATAAAAAAAAAAAATATTTTTCCGAAAACACATTTGAACAACAATTGAAGAAAATAAAAATAAAAACTACTGGAAATGTACATAAATATTTTTGGCGATATTTACAATTGAAATTGTGCAAAAGTGCAAACGAAAGCCACGTGCGAATGCAGCCTCCTCTATGTAACTGTGTAGAGATCGCTTGCTTTTGGAAAAAAAAAAAAGTAAAGGAAAAAACGTTGGCATTTCTTTGAATCACTTAAAAATCCAGATGCCTTAATGCGACTGTCGTTGTTTTTCCAATAACCGCAGTAAGGTGCAGCGTGATGCTGAGTTGTTGCGCAGAACGCTGCATGTGCATGTATGTATGTGTGTGTGTGTGTGTTCTTGACAGCGCGATGACAATGTGCAGTGCTGCGGCAATGCAAACCGGGCAGAAAGTAAACAATTTCATGTGCATTTTGTGAAATGCGCGAATCACGATCACACACACACACATGACTTTGACTTACATATACGTATGTATATATGTGCACATGCATATATACTCTAATTTGCACTTACATACATGCATATGTATATTATTCGACCATATTTTCCTATTCGACTGCGTGTAGGCTTCCTATAGCGATTCTCTCCCACTGCTTGCTAATGAATATTAAACAATGTTTTTTTTTTTTAACATAATTTAATTTATGGTTTGTTTGGTTAATATAACAGTGAAAAGATAAAAAGGATTTTTATGCTAATATCACTGTTTGTTGTAGATAACAACAACAACAACAACAATAGCTACCAGCCACATACATACGCACATAAAATGATAACGATAATGTCAGAAGCATGTCAGTCCGTTCAAAAGTGAGATTAGTTGCTTATCTTATTTCGAATCTTTTTTTGGTGTAGAAATTTTTCTTTAAAATCTTTTAAATACGTAATGCAAGCGAAATACGAGAGGAATAACAAAAGTTCGTTTAATTGGTGACTTTCAATTTGTTTTGTTGAATCTGAACATACAAAATCATCGCAATTACTTTATTAGTCTTCCTTTCAAATTTTAGAAGGATCGGCTAAAATGGAGACGAGAAAATGCAAGATAACTCAGGATTGGTCAAACAAAATTCCATCTTCAACGCAAACAGAATTCGCCACGTGATTCTCTTCGGTTTTAAGCGTAATTTACAGCCAATACAGATGTTCAGGGAATGCCAAATTGCATATGGAACGAGAACGATTGCACCGTCTTTAAAGACTATTTCTAACTGGTTCCGAAGATTCCACACCGGACATTTTTCCGCAGAGGACAAGCCCGGAGAAGGTCGACCAAAATCGTCCACTGATGACGTCACTGTAGCTCTTGAGAAGTCCAAAATTGACGAAGACCCACAATTGACACAAGAAATGGCTTCGTTGTGTTCTCGACACAAAGAAATCTGCTCGATGGGTACCACGTATTTTAAATGAGGCCCAATAAGAGGCTCGTGTGAATTTTGCACAATTTTACCTAAAAAAAAACGAAAATGGTCAGTCTAGCAACTTTAGTGAAGTCGTTACTAGTGACAAATCTTGGTTCTATAAGAACGATCCAGAAACCAAACAGTAATCTATGGTATGGAGCCCAATAGGAACAAACCCAACCGTAAAATCTAAAGAACAAAAATCAGCAGCAAGAGGAAAGATGTCAGTTTACTTCATCCGATCCAAAATCGTATCTGCTGACCCACTGAAATAAGGTCAGACGGTAACTACAAAATAGTACACTGAAGAGTGCTTACCAAGAGTTTACAAAATCTTTTTGGAAAACAGAAAGAAATAATATTTGCGGCGCTATTTTTACATCGTTACAACGCGCCATCCGACACTGCTGAACTAACGAGCAATTTTATGGCGAACTGTGGGTTCGAAGAAATACGTCCAGCACCTGGATAGAGCACCTTGTGATTTCTGGTTAATTCCAAAAATGAAAAAAATAGAAAAGGAAAGGTCTTCAATAGCAACGAGAACATAATTAATGCGGTTAATGCTGAACTTGATAAGCTTAAAAAGCAAGATGTCGAAGACTGTTTTCAGAAGTGGATCTGTAGGCTTAAGAAAAGCATTGAAATAAAAGCCGATTATGTAGAGAAAATAAAAAGCGCAGAGATTACGAATAAATACAAAAATAGTTTTCTTGGGCAACTTAGCGAACTTTTCTGAATCCGCTCTTATATCTGGTTATCAAGATTTAATATATTAATTTCAATTCTGTTTCACGGAACAGTGGGTGCATACAACCTTCGCGGTGCAGCTCCTAAGTCACTTTTCATAGTCATAACTTTGAAATCTCGACAATGGCATTTATCAAGAACCAGCATGAATACCAGCTTTAAATCTAACACAGAACCACTCTTACGAACTGCTGACGCTTTGTTACACTGAGTAGACAATCAAAGAGTAAATTGCACTCGTGACGAACAAGGACGAAACTATATGAGTCCCTCAACATTCTCATTGCTGTTGTTATTGTTGTTGTTCCGGAGATACAGAAAACACATTTTTTCGACGGGTTCGGACCAGAAGAAAATCGTATTTAAAATGGTTGCTTTTAGGAGCATACAAAGAGGTGATTGCTGTCATGCAGGGTCCCATTGTAATGAGGACATACGTTGAATGTGTCTTGGTCAAGTCTGGATAGGTAGAAATTAAGTCGAATACAAGCCATATCTAATTCTTCACTGTGCCAGTATTGCTCGAATGCTCAGATTTTGAGAATGCCATTCGCTTCATGTGATCAGAGTTCATGAAGGTCCTGCCAGACTCTCGGTGAACAGCGTTTAAAATCTATCGGTGTCTGTTATAACACCAACGGTAACGTACCAGCAGATTATTGCTTTATGTATATTAATCCGTATAATATTTTAGTCTCTAACTCGGAGCATAGTGTTTTGTCGTGCAAGTGATGGATGCTCCGCCGAGATCAGGAAGTTTCCTGGCACGTACCTAAGGGCGATGTTCTGACATGATGGTACGTTCTTCAACTGCGTCTCCCTAGTCCTAGACCAATTGCTTTGTATACTTCATTTTAATTTTTCTTTGTCTTTATCATAGGTACTGCCGGCCAACTAACGTGACTACCAGTCAACTTTTACTGCATCGACTTTCAAGGTCAGTTCGAGCCGGACATATTCCTCTAGGTGGTGAAACGAGTAGCCGATGGTTGTAGTTATAGGTTTTGTGCAATGAAGAAGCGGAAATGAAAGGTCGGCGATGTTGGAGTTTACTTTCCAAGTGGCGAAACGCCAATATCGAGCAGTCATCGACATATGGGATCAAACGCCCTCTTGTGGAGGAGGTTGCTTCGAAATCATCATTATTCCCGTCCTGTTATATGCTGCGGAAGCGAGGACGATGACCACTTCCGATGAATCGGCGTTCAGAATTTATGAGAGAAATGCTTTGCT